ATGTGAGCGAGCTGCCGCATTCACGCTCAATCTGCCGCGCGCTTAATTGCTATTAGGGATGCAGCGAGAGTATTCGGCAACTATTTGGTATTCGGCGTATTCGACAAATTTGCCCAATATTCGATGTGGCCGCATAGTTAATACTATTTAGCGCGTTCGTATTTCTTAGCTGGTAGTTGTAACAGTGTAACGTAATGCTACCTTAAGGACGGGAATTAATCCATCATCGGGAGTTCATATCGTGGAAAAACTAGAAAATATAGAAAATATACAGATAATCTGGGCGCTTCTGTTGCGCGAACGTTGAACTTACGGTATATATAGAGTCGTTATACTTGACGGACGGATCGCGCCGTTTATCTTAGATCGTATGATCAAACAACTGGACGTCTTTGATTCTGAAACGACTAGATACCGGGTATTACGCGCTCGCGTACTCGAATAAATGTAATACGATTACTAGATGCGCGCGACCAGCGCAATGCATGGCGTTTCGCGCATTTCGTTCGGCGCTTTGGAAGATACTGACAGATATTTCCTATATTCAAGGCAGGAATGCGCTACATTCCCTGATTTATTACATCGTACGAATAAATATTTCGAAAAAATCTCATGTAACGGATTTGGCAAATGGTCAAAATAATGCGTTTACCATTTTTTATGGATGAAGCTTGAATTATAAATTAAAAAAACGTTTGAATATGGAGTTAATTTAGGGGAACATACAACTGAACGTAATTGATCGCGCGCAGACGACGCAATTACAATCGCTTCGTTCGTAAAGAAGCTTCAGTCAGCCATCCGGCAATATAGAGGCCGAACAACCGGATCTAATATCTTACGGCTAGGAAGATGCGCACATATCATATTGTTAATCTCAAAACCGCGTCTATAAGAATCCACTTAATGAAATTTCCCCCGCACGACGCCCGCGCAATTGGTCGGCTCCAGGGGAAAGCCCCGGTTCCTCGTGTCCCCCGTGCCTGCACGCCGGTGGCATTGTGGAGCAATTAATAATGTCATATTGCACCCCCTCGGCGCCACCCCTAACCCCTCGCGCACCCCATCCCTCCGTCGTAGCGGCGTCTCCGACTAAACGCTCACGGGTACCACCGCTGTACCACCACCACCACGGTACCATCGACACTAACACCAACCCTTGGCACACGGTACATCGCTCTTAGCACCGAGGGCTGCGTAGGCACCTGTCAGGGCCGACGACACGGTCCCTTACAACCCTGAACAAATTTCGCCGAAATTAACGGAGCTCTAACAGCGTTTATTGCGTCAAACTCAAATTTTATTAACGACAGCGCATCGAAAAACAAGATTCTACTAATGCGTGAGAGCGTTGACGGATATGAAATTTAGGACAGCAAAGTTTAAAATTTTATACATTTCGAATTTCAGCAATCTAGAAAATATAGTTACACAGTTCAATAGTTTAAGAAAATCAAGAAAAATGAAAGTCAAAGATTTAATACACCAGGGAGACTTACAAACAGACAATTTATGAATCAAGAAGAAACAAAAGGAAAGTTCAAGAATCTATAAGCAATTCGTAAAGGAAATCCAAGTCTTTTTTAAGAACCAAAGGAGGGTCCAAGCTAGACTAGATATAGTTCAAAGACTAGATAGTTTTTAGTGACCAAGTGGTGCGACGCGCCCTTCGTGTCTTCGGCCCTGGCATCTACCTACCGTGCAAGAAGAGAACGGAGGGTGGGTGGAGGTTGGGCACCCTGACTGCTAGCTCGGATATAGGCTGTTGTGAATATTACATTCCCTGTGTATATAGACGGTGCGCGCTCGGGTAATGCTCCGAGGCACGAGGGCAGAGTACAATAAGACGGCGCGCGCAATTAATTTTCGGGCTTTTGCTAATTAAATTTTTGCCCGTCACGCGTGCCGTCGGGCCCGCGTCTATTATGCCCGCCAACGCTATTGACAGTTTCCAACCTTCCCTTCTTCTTCATCAATTCTATTCGATTGTTCGATGAAGGAGTTAACCGATAATTTTTCTGAGATTCTTGTCAAATAATTATGCAAAATTCAAGTTCAAATAATTATAAAAATTATGTAAATGTTTTCCAATTTAATTTTAATGGTATATGTATATAGAATATAAAGATTGTTTCGTTAAGAATTAACTCATTTATTTTTATTTAACTTTGTGCTAATTACACGCTATTATCTTTTAACATGGCAAATATTACACACAAGGATCAACAAATAAGCGAGAGAAAAATCATAAATCTCTTAAAAAGAGCGCCCAATGATCCGGTCGAGCAATTACACCACCATCTTGTGTTCGTACAAGTGCCAGTAGATCCGTAGAATTCATAATGGGATTCCCCCAGGATCTCTAAAACTTCTAGGAGTCGTGTGCTACGGAGCGTGATACGGTAACGAGGGAGTTCAAGGTTAAAAGCAATGGAGACGGAACTGAGAGAGAAAAAGAGAAAGAGAGGACCCGATCAGGGCAAAGAGAAAGAGAGAAAGAGAGAAAGAGAGAAAGAGAGAGAGAGAGAGAGAGAGAGAGAGAGAAAGAAAGTTGTAACGACGAGAAGGACAAAGAGAGTTCGACGATTTCGCATAGTAAGTGAATTACAGCGACGTAAGCCGCATGTACAATCGATATATTGACCGTAACGCGGCGTTTATAAACAATGTATAGGTATGTAACAATACATAGCATTGTACAGTCTTTGCAGATTCATTCCAAAGCTGAATGCAATCGATTAACTGCAACGTTGCAATAAAAATATTTTTATGTCTTGAATTTTCTATCCTCTTATAGAGTATAATTCTTAACAATTCGTCCTTGCATAATCGTATGTTACAACTGACTAGATCAAACATAAAATTCAATTCGAACGTGGAATCTGTAAACTGCGACGGATCGAGGGGCGGGAATCCTTTTTAATAGAAAAGGAAGAGTTAAATGTTTTTCATTCTTCTTTAGTTTTTTGCTTAATTAATTCTGTGCTGCTTTGTGTCCTATTTGTTTGGTTTGAAATTGTATTAATTTTATTATGTGTCAGCCACGTTCAATTAACGTTTAAAATTAAAAAAAAATATCGTGGACGACCTTGAAATGGTTTACAGGCAAGCCACCAGGGGGTTGGAATGTCATCCACCGGAATGTAACGTTCCACCCTCACCGACTGCGAGGATCGCCATTAATCCTTAGGCTGACTTTCTTTCCGCTCGCTGTCGTATAGAACGGGGCGTCCTCGTTATCGACGCTTATCGCTAATAAGATCGCTGGACCGCTCGTTATCGTCGTCGTCGCACTCGCCCTGTCCTCATTTTCGTACGATTGCGATCGTTAATTATCCCTATCGCAGCCGATCGCCCTCCGCCGTTCTCCTCCTTCGCCTCCTTCCCCCTCCTCCCTCCCACCCACCTACGCGCTTTCGTCGTTCTCCTTGTCATTATCATTCCGGTAATTACCGGTGTATTCCTTCGTTATCATCTTGTTATCGTTCGGCTATCGCGCTTCCGCGAGGAGCACGGCGAACGTCTCCGGAGAGGTCAGGCCTCGTAAACACGTGGGAGCGAGCTGATAACGAACGACGAGGAGCATCGGCATCTGCACTTGAAATCACAAGTCAACGGGCGAGTCGAACACTCGAATCTGATATTTTAATGACATCGATTTGGTTAGATTTCGGGCAAACGCGCTTTCTGTGTTTTTGATTTACTCGTCAACAACGTCGACAATCCCGCAGCTTTTTCTGCGCAATCTGACACGAGATTTTAACGTTTCGCGATCCGTGATCCCTTCGATCTATATCGACGCGATAATACGCGACAGTTGGAATCGTTGCGACTTGCGAACGGAGCGCCGTGCGACACGCGCGCAGCACCTAAGTAACCGCATTAAGAAGAAGCCGACACGCAGAAACGCGGAGCGGGCGAGTCCGTAAGGGCATTAATGCGCCGGAGATTTATGTGGTAACGGCGAGGATGAAATTCCATCGCGGTAGGTGCTCGTATAAGTGGCACGCTGCTCGCTGGCGGAGGCGCGAGAGTTATGGTTGCCCATACTGATATCCACTATAAACTCCCCCGTCGTCCGCCCTCCTCCGCGCGTCCTCCTACGCTCTCTACCACGGCATACTTAATTAAATACGTATTAAGAGCCTGAGTGTGTTCCGATGTACCGATGTGCGCCTGCATCGTGGAATAATATATGCTTCAGCGCGCGCGCGCTAATTACTTTCTCCCACCGAGGTCGCACACCCGACAGTTTTACTTTCCCCGCGTACACTAGAATCGCATTCATCGAAACGAAGCGCGAAAAATCCCTTTAGCGTAACAAAGAGATTTTTCGATATTACATACGCATCTCTGTCCTTGCGAGACTGTCGAATCAACGAATTTATTATCGCTCGTCATTACAATGTAATCATTATTCCTCCTTCATTATTCATTAATCATTATGCGTACGTATACGTCGTTAAGTGCTATAGAGAAAACCGTTATGGGCTAACGTATCTTACAAAGAATAAGGAAGATACCTTCCGCCCTTAAGGCTGACCACACAAATAAAGGACGTCCTAAAGAAAGATAGAAATTTGGAATGGAAGATCGATTGACACCCGCTGAGCTAGAGAAGGAAAATTATTGCTAATTAAGATGGGCGTGCCGTTCTTGCCGATCTCACAATCTTTGACAAAGAATAGGTCAGACTGCTTCATGAATTCTAATGCATTCTCGGAAAGTTGAAGAAATTTTCTCGCATTTGCGTTTCAGTCCGACAATTTTATCGTGCCATAAACAAGATAAGAATTGTGACAACGATAGACCAAGTTCGAGAAAGGAAGTAAAGTTCGAAATATCACCGTTCTGTAATATTAATTTATTTAGCAATTAAGATTCTATTACCAAAGAAAAAGATAATCGATATATTGAACTAGCTTTTACCGTTAAACAATGATATTTACGTCAGACTCAAAATCAAGCAGCTAAAAATTATTTTTATTTTATTGTTGCAGGTTTCATCCAAGTACCGGAAGAAAAGAGCCGGTGCGGGGACGCAATAGAGCGCCGCACAGCCGCTCCTCTCTTCTTCGTTTCACCGTTGGAAACCGTCGGTGGGCTCCCTGAGCCCACCCTCTCATCGGTCAAACTGGCGAGCGCGTTAACCGCTGGTATGAACCCCCACCATCCGGGCCACTCCGCAGCCTACCCCCACCATCCCTCGCTCTCGAGCAGTCCGCATCATCCGGGGCCCGGCGGGCCGCATCACGCGTATGGGACCGGTGGAGGTGGCGGAGGTGGCGGTGGCGGCGGCACCACGACCACCCCCGACTTACCCAGCCCGCACTCACCCCAGCATACTGGTGGTGCCGGTGATCCCGCCACCCCCTACGGTACCCTACAACCTGGACAAGGCATGGGCAGCAACGGGCATCATCATAGCGGTGGCGGAATGATGCAGGATCATCCACATCACCCTGGACACCCTCATCCTCACATGCCGGGGCATCCCGCGTATCCACCCGTTAATCACAACAATAACTGCACGCTCAAGGTGAGTACCACATTTTCGCGCGAAGCGATTTTATATATTAATAATGCGCGTCTCTGGAACGTTATTTTAAATATCGGTGCTTCGTTAATAGTTTTTTATGTGTATATATTACACATTACACGAGAGGTCTCTGAAATTTAATTTCTCGTACAACGAAATGTAGCGATACAGGTGGTTCCCAAGACGAAGAGTGGTGAAAAATTCCGAAGCTCTCCGACTTCGTCATAAAGGACTTGGGAACGGTATAACGTAGGGTCACAGGGTACAATTCGGCAGTATTATCCGTCCGTCCGACCCTCACTTACCCCGCCATTGACAAACGTAACAATATAGGCATTTATGATGGAGAAATATAATTGAATAGGGGCGGAGGGGCCCGCGCGGTTCCCTCTTGCAGTTTTCTGCTCGATGCTTTACCTGCCTCTTTCCCTTTCCTCCCTTCCCTACCCTTGCATCACACAACGTTCTGCCTTTTTCAGAGTATACATTGCTTCTCCAACTTTCATTCTTCATTCACCTTTCTGTGTTGACTGTACCCTGTCTTCCGGTTTCCAGCGCCTAAAGACGTGTACATCTGTTGCTTTACTTCGTAAACTGTTTTTCGGCGATTGCTACTCCAGAGTTTTTCTTTTCTTAACCATATTCTGGTTAAAGCTCTTTTGCATTTTCTTATTTTCTGAATAATTTATCGATTAATCTTTCCTCCGCTATTTCTGCATCTGTAACGTACGAAATTCGATTCGCTACGATCAAAGTTTAAATTATGTCTCTTCTTTTGAAAAAAGTGCGACAACTTTCCTGCATTTCTGGTGTATAGAGAAACAGATGAGTCATCGTCCAATATTAATAGTGTCCGTTTTGAAAACCAAGATGCTCATTCTTTACGCGTCTTAAAATTATAAAACTTTCAACATAATTCGTATTTTCTCTTGCGATTTGAATAATCAAGCCTCGATTTTCAAGTCTTATTCTTCGGATATTTGGATACTTTAATAGTGTATTCATGCATTCTTCAAATTTTTTTATACCTTCTTTTCGTCGTTCTTTCTTATACTTTCTCAATCTCGTCCTCCCCTTAGATTCCACTCGCATTCTGTCACCGTCTTGAACTCGTCCTTATTCTCTCGCGTCGCTTTAGCTCTCTTTCTCTAGTGGACCTTCTCTATTCGTTATTCTTCTTCTCTTCTTCCTTGTATTCACTTCTATCGTTCTCTTTCTCTCGTTTCCTTCGAGTCCCGTATGTTTTTCGTATTTGTGTCTTTACCTCCTTTATGTGTTTCTATCGTTACGGATCTCCGTTTATCTCATTGTTTTCCGTCTCTTTTCACTCTTGAACTTCGATTTTCTACCTCTTTTTATATCTCATTCTCCTGTTTTCTTTCTCTTTTTTTATATTATATCTTCTCCTTTTTATGCTTCTTTAATTTGTTACTTTTCTTTAATTTTTTGCCATTGTATACCGTAAAAGTATACGTAATATATCTGAAAATTTGCCACAACTTTCGCTTTACACAACATTGTAAGGCTCACGGCACTTAGGAAGCCTGTCCCAGAATATATCCCTCTCTCATCTCTGTCCGTCTCTGTTTCTCTCTGTTTCTCTCTCCTTTTCTTTCTCTCCCTTCCCTTCCATTCTCTTCTCTCAACCGGTGCTATGGAAAAGACCCCTTCCCCTTTTTCGCCCCTTCCCAGCCGTCGGGTCTCTCTCTGTCTGACGCACGAATGGGTCCTCCGTTCACCTCCCCTCTCGATTCTCTCTGTTCCCCTTCCCCTCGCCTCGTCGATCCCTCACGCTGTCTTTATCTCGCCTTCTCTCACAGCGTCGGTTGGGTACTTTCTAGACTCGCCTTTTTACATTCTCCCTACCCCGAGCCCAAGGTACCTGAACCCGCGCAGGCCCGCAAGGCATTCGGGGACCCGTAGCACCAGCCAGTTGGGTCCCGTCCGTGCTTTGCTTCGTTTCGTTTCTTCTCTCGTTCCCTTTCTGCGCACCGCATTGCGCGAGGATACGCGTCGCCGAAAGTGGCGAGTTTCGCGAAGATCGCTCATAGTCGCCTGTGATCCTAGGCGCTCCGTTCTGATTTTCATAGTACCGTGAAATTCAACGTGGAACCGAGGACCTCCGGATCCTTGAAATCCCGTAAATCGCGGTGGGGGAAAGTGAGTGTATCGCAACGGGAACTTGTTCGAGGTCGAGTGATATCATTGGACGAGTGAATCCGGAGTGCGGCCCGAGATCGGTTTTTCGTCGTCGGTGTTCCTTTTTTTTCCCTCTTTTCTTTTCGCTCCGTTTCTTTTCCTGCCTCGTGCTCCGCGGAGAGAGACACACAGTGAAGTGCGTCATGGAGGTCCAATACCCGTATCACTACAACACGATTACGTCGCGGATGAATAAGTGGTTCTCCGGCAACATCAAGACAGAAATCAAAGTAAGTGTACGGGTCGCAGTCGAGAAGTTTTTTTTTTCCATTTCGCGCGGGAGACACGCTTTTTGAAACTCATGCTCGTCGACGCAACACAACAGCAATTAACGCATTCGCTCTCGTATTCCCTGACGCAAGTCGAATAGGTATTGCTGTGCGTAGCGTACCGTGTCCGACTATTCGCATAACTGCACGGGCAGACATTGCTATTTGAAAGTCATCCTACACCACGGAATTACTACGTCGATAGATATTAAATATGCGAGTGTAACAAATACAAGCACACACATTAAGTACATGTATATGGAATGCGTAATTCTTGAACTTTTAATTTAGAAGTCTATTAGCTCCAACAACGCAACGGCGCATCCGGCTCGTACTGAAATCGATACTTGTTTAAATGTTTTTAATCTCTTTTTTTATATATATTTATACGTTTGTATAAATAACGCAGATGAGGAAATTATTTTCATACTTTCTACAGATCCTTTTACTCCACACGTATAAAAATACATGTATCATTTTTCTACTTAAATATAATCGACTAAGAAAAACTCTTCGAGTACAAGATCAACGTAGTTTCGTTGATTTAATGGTAAACTGAAGTATTTTTAGCAACAATACGGTATTGAGCAATGTTGTACAAAGTGAAATTAGCGAGTAAGTTGTGGGTCCCGCGAGCAAGAGTTACGTTCGCCTACGTGTGTTTGCATAATCACGAGTAAGCATTCATAATAAGCGCGCACTTAAGACGCCGTAATGATTTAGTGCCCGTTAATGACTTTCTGTTTCGCATTAATTACCACGATGCTTGAATTTCTACTTATAATGGGCTAGAAACGATTTCTAAGGCGTATGTGGCAACTCTTACGCGCGTCCTCTTTGAAAAGTACGTTGCCATCGTTTTCTTTATTCGAACTTCGTAACCAGCCATCTCTCTTGCTGTCTCAAGTCGAGAAAACGTAATAGTAGTAGTAACAGCGTTAACTCTTAATACAACTTAATTAAACTGCATAGTATATCCTTAACTAAATTTTAAATTAATATAAATTATGAATCGCGATGAATTTAAGGTCGCAGAGTGTTCAATGAATGACAAAAAATGAAAACTTGATGTTACAGCAAGAAGGTGTCCCAAGCGGGTCAACGGGCCTTCGGCAATGCGCCGCCTGCGGTGTACAAATAGTGGAAAGATGGCTGTTGCTAGCGATGGACCGGTACTGGCACATTGGCTGCCTGAAGTGCCAGTGTTGCAGCGTAGTATTGGGAGAGGTTGGCCAGTCCTGCTACACCAAAAGCGGCATGATCCTCTGCAAAGCCGACTACAGACGGTGAGTCGTATTGCTAATTTCTTTTGAGCCGGACCACCCATATCGAATTTAAAATAAAAAAATAGCAGAGAAATTTTTTAAACAAAAAGAAAAAAAAGAGAGAATAAGAAAGATCCTTCTCTATATGCATGGGAAATGTCCTCGATATTCGGGCGATAGCGCAGCTTTCTTCGCATATCGCTGCTTATCGCATTGAAGAGTTGATAGCGATGGCCACTCATGAATAAACCAGAAATTATCGCTTCCATTAAATTAGATATTACGTCGCGCAACACAGGACATCGGATATTCCGGCTTTGCCGGCGCAGGCGCGACTCCGCGCGGCCGACAGAGAATCGGCGCCGTCTAATTTCTTGAAACTAATAACAACGCCCGACGCTTCGTTATTAATAATAAATACTGTTATTGTGCGCGGCCATTATGGCTAATTTATCGTGGTACTTGCCGCGCGTTCGTTTATACCGTGCCGGGATTCCTGGGAGCCAATATCGTGTAATCAACATTCCTCTCGTGCAAAATAGCCACGGAACTAGGAAGTTGCCGTTTTACGTCATATCTCGTAATCATATTCGTCTTTTTTCTCCAATAGTTATGGCAATTATTCAACGTATTGTTAAAAAATATGAGGACACCATTTGTGATAGTTAAATATACCTGTAAATCTAAAAACTTAAGGCTTCATGATTTAGGTACAAAATTAAAATTCGAAGAAAAATCGGAATGTAGAAAATATGTATGAAAATATATATCGGAAATATATGATAAATATGAAGAATAAAAAATTGTACTGACGTGTGGATAAGATAAATATTGTAGTAGTAATACAGATTCTAGGAAAAAGATTTAATTACAATATTTTCCTCGTGTGCACTTATCCAGACGACTTATCTCCAAAAGACACTTGAAAGAATGGGACGTGTTTTAGGTATATTTAACGATATTTCTTTGCGTTGTCTCACCCATTATTGCCGCATTGTGCTCGACACAGCACGCACATCTCTCCCTTGATCGTTTATCGATGAATGGCTCGAGACTTGGAGATTGCCGCGCCGTGATGAATATGCACCTAATCGGCGTGGCCGTTCCAAATTTAGATGATTCGAGGTCAGAGCGCAATTTAATGAGAAACAGACGCTGAACTTAGTTAGTCCCCCCGAAATAGATCGGCACAACCTGGCCCGGCCGCGCTCGTACCGGAGGTAATGGAACTGTCAGTCCTTTTTTTACTCAGCTAACCGGTTATATCCGCACGAGGAGTGACATTTCTTGCATTTCACGCTGCAGTTAAGCGCGCTCGGCCGTTCGTGTTTCTACGTTTCATCATAATACCGCCGCTAAAACATCATTATGCAACACGGAGACGCGAAAAGCAAGGGGAGGGCATTGATAGGTACGGACAGATATTTTTGTTATCGATTGCGTCGATCGGTACGCTAACGTTGGTATTTCAATTTCGTCGGTCCTTTCCTTATCGCGCGATTGCTATTACTCAACCGTGGCGCACGTACGTCCTAATCTGTTGGCATAGTCGAGCGATTTAGTCCGGCCTAGTATCAATATTTGACTACGAGACGTCCCCATCCTCGGGATGGGTCTAACATCGTCCGTTCCGGCGCCCATCGGCTTGCTTTCGTCGAAAAATGAGACGCGATAAACTGTTTGAGAGTTTGTTCCTTAAAATTAATTTCAAAGAGAGGAAAATATATTATCAGAAAGGAAGATGAATTAGGAGAATAAAGCAATTCGAGAGAATTTAAGGATGTAAAAATCACATTTAACAGACGAATCCAAATCAATGTATATAGGATCATATCAGAAGACTATCATTCGCGTATGACTCTCGCTTCGGGCAACAATAGCACGTTCTTACGGAACACTCGATGCATCATATCACGCTAAGCGTTCTATACCCTGCGCAGCTTTACAATCAAACTACTGTCGGAATTGAAACCAACCGGTTGTCTCGAAACACCATCGGGTGTCTCCTGCGCGGGAGCAGCGTCTGCTGCAACCGCCTCGTCGAAAAGAGAACGACGAATATATCTGCGCGGGCCGAGTGGATAGACAGATGGATGGAGAGGATAGCGAGCGCGGTGCGACTCGGAAAGATAGCGGGGAGGTTGGAGAGGCGAGAGAGAAGGGATGGCGGTTCGTTTCTTTTGGATTCAAGGAATGTTTCAATCAGTTTGATTGAAGGGCTGAGCCACGGCAAGAGGGTAAACTCGATTTACAGCCGTGTAGGAGGGATGGCGCGGTGGACGGAACGGAAGGAGAGAGATAGAGAGAGTGAGAGAAGGAAGGGGGAAGAGGTAGAGAGAGAGAGAGAGAGAGAGAGAGGGAGAAGGGGGTACAGGGGGTAGATGGTGGGTGCCACAATCACCGAGATGCGTCCAATCACCCCCAGCCCCCGACGCCATCGGGTTTCGGGCGTACGGACGAGGGGTTGAAGGGATCGAGGAAAAGGGGAATGACAGAGAGAGAGAGAGAGAAATAGAGGAGGGAGGGAGAAAGAGAGAGAATGTGTGTGCGGCCAATCATCGCTCGGCTTTCCGCTGGAGCGACATCGTCGTGATGCTGGTTTGTCCTAGATGTGCAATCAGACGGCTTCCAGCCCTCTAGCTTGCTCCGATGGCTCCTTCTCCCTCCATCTTTCTGGCCGAATACCAAATTCCAGCAATTTGGTAGGTAGGTACTTTGTTGAATCAACATGATTGGGCTTGACGGAGACCGGCGACGCGCCATACCGCGTAGCGCGGCGCAGCGCCGCGACGAGCGACGGCGACGAGCCGACGAGTCGAGGACGAACTGAAAGACAGATAGACTGGCTCCGACACCCTCGCAACCCTTTCCAGAACGGACAACATTTCGTTGATGATCTTAAGATTGTCCACTTATGCTTTCAATCCGATTACCGATTTAATTTAATCAGCGAAATGTACTAACATGATAGAACGATTAGTAATTACGTATTATTATAGTTATCATCTCTCTGGATTAATATATATACAGATGTATATATGTATGTATATACATTAGGTTTTTTAAATCTGAAAAGAAATAAGCGCGACTTAAAGTAAAGAAGGAAATAACAGAGTGACGAAATTGTGACGAAGCATACTTCATCCACATCGGTAGTAATAGCAATGTAACATTAGAGTGACAAGGGTAACAGTATAGTGATAATAATAACAACGACGAGATAACGGAGAAAGAGACTGCCGATCGCGTTCGCGCGGAAGAGAACACGGCGTATTTTCCGCGCTCGATTCAGCCCGCATCGCGTCGAGGGAGGCACGTACGTAGACGGTAGGTCGCCGGAGGTGCTGAGGGAAACGAAGAAGAGGGCGGGAGCGGGGAATGGAGGGGTGGCACCGGGCGATAAGGGGTTCATTAGAGGCAGTTTATTACTGCCTTTGAAGTCTCTCGCGTGTTGCCGTTAAGTCGCTCGATATCTCGTAATATCTCGCTCTAATCTCGCGAGGAGAAGTTAATTGCTACCTTCACCCCCCGCCACCTTCTCACCTCCGTCCGACCTACTCGCCCCCATCGCGCTCGCCGCACCACTTCCCGCCGCCACCCCGCCGGCGCGGGCGGTTCCCTCGCACATGTCGCCTTTACAATTAGACGCTTAATTCGGGCAACCACCGGGCTGAAATTTTCACCACCCCACCTGCCCGGCCCCCTGGCCACCCTTTCGTCCGCCGCCACCCGCTTCGACCGCGGCTCGAGTCGGGAATTTCCTGCCCTTGGTCAGCAGCCGCCGCGTCGCGCCATGTCGCTCCTCGAACTTGGTAATTTCTGAGTTCGATGACCGTTCGATGAACGGTCGCGTTAGTATCCCAAAATTGCGTGACTCCGTAGATCGTAAGAATAGAAGGCGCGACGAGGTGCCTTGAGAATCGTTGCATTTTCCGAAACAACAAGTTCTTATGAATTTATAGAGCGCTATCGAATACACGGCATCCGGTCATTAGAATGTTACGTTAATTTTTTTTTTCTGTACTGTAGTATTACAAATTTGAGATATCGCATACGTATATCATACGTATATTTATAAAACTCCTCAGAAAGATCAGATAATGCCGCGGGTTCGAGTGGTGCGTTAATGCGAGTCAGAATCGCGTGTCGACGCGCCTTTTGTAGGACGCACTAAAGCTTGCATGTACCTATACGTGTGAATACGGGGGTGCGCACAGCCGTGGCACCGATTCGTAATTATTGTAATTTTCGCCAGTAGAAAAGTTTTCTACGACGACGATGATGAGAACAGTTTTCATGGCCGAGGCGCGCGTTAACGAGTGGACGGCAAGATTGCCAGCGGAAAGAAAGAAGGCGTCGTGACGACGATTATCGTGATAATATTCAAAACGATTAGTTCGCAAGTTACCACAGACCACAGTCGCAATAGTCGACCGACTGATTAAACGCGACCATCCTCACTCTCGACTAAGACTTGAACGACTGCAGCATGCTTCGATCAGCATGAGAATTCGCGCATTTATTTCCTCCTTCAATATTATTATTGTTATTATCATCCGGGGATTAAACTATATATACATACATATAGGTATACAAAGTAATTTAGATGACTCGAACTTCGAACCCTCGAACTTTTTCGAGAAAGCACAAGTTTGTGACAAAGAAAGAAAGGAGTGTAAAGTATCAACCGGGATCTTACATTAAGATTGTATGCAAACAGCTGAAGATATTTGAGCGACAGTTTAATCGAAGCATAATTCGGCCATTAAATCAATACCGTTCGTTACAATTCCGACAAGATTACGCGAGGAGAGGCGCGGGAGGGGAGCAGAAAGTGGACAAGGGGGAAGAGAGGGGCGGATAGCCGCGGCAAATAGAGAGGAATTAATCCGTTCAACTTGACAGCGATTTCACGGGGGAAATTAAGAGAATACCGCAGAAGGTGGTTACGCTGCTGGCGGTGGCAGCGCGTACGCGCGATGGTAGAGGCTGATTCATGAAATATTTGCGCGATTTCGCGA